ACTACTTTGGCGCCGATTCTGGAAGTTACCAGCTCCGCATTTGTGGTACCAACCCCTCATGGTTCTGAACACAAGGGATACGTTGAGCAGCGTTGTTGTATTTGAGGCAGTGTGAGTAGCAGACCGCGTGGTGGACACAGCCACTACTAGTGATTTTGCTCTCCATCCCGCAGCACTACGATGCCGAAAGGGTAGGACTCGCGACAACACTACGGCATGGACCAGCATTTGATAGGAGCTACATGTATCGGATACAACGCTGCTACAGAAGCAGGACTATGACACGACTGCAATACCACCGACACTTAGTTATCTTCATACGTGGACAGGATGCGAGTAACACTGGGGATGTGCTACCCGAGACTCAACGCATGCTACAGTGTGCCAATTAGAGCACCCACCAAAAGGACAGTACATCTACTCTTCCGCTACAACATCTCGATCACGATCAACGCCATCTACGTACCACCTACAGACGCAACCCGCTCACACCACAACAACCGACAAATCCATTTCATCACCGTTGTCCATCAGCTCCAACACCGGACACGCCACTTGGAAGTCCAACAGCAGCAGAAGCATTTTGCTGCTCATAACTACAGTTTTCCACACCATAACCTCGACATCAGCCATCTTCCATCCAAGCTTCAACCTTGCTTCTGGGGGACTACCCTTGTCGAAGCAAAGGTCACTTCAATCACCTTTCGTTTCCGCCTACCAGCCACTTGGAAGATTCTTCCATACCATCTTCTTAAACCCTATCAAGACCAAACATGCTCTACACCGATTGCCAACAACCGTCGTCGCCCGTGTTCATCCACGACATGAGACAATTACGTTCTCAGACACTGTCGTCATCAGAATGGCACTCTGGAGCTTCTTATTTACTGGAAGGATCTGATCCTCCCGAGGCTGCATGGGTAACGCCTGTCGTCCTGCATGGGTAACACCTGTCGTCTCTGAATTCTACATGGGTAACGCCTGTCGTCCTCTTCGCGACTACCTTATCAAGCAGGGTGTTACTTCTACCACCCAGCTTTGAGGGGGGGAAGTGTGAGAGTACGACCCCGTTACACCGATTTCCCCTTTTCATATTTCCTTCCTATTTCATCCTGATTAATTTGGTAATTATCTCATCTCATTTGGTTTCCTATTCCTCCTTTTCCATTATCCTTTGATTTATCTTGCTATTATAATTATATCACCGACCAGGCTCGGGATGTACTGGCGCGCAATATCTAGCGTAATCCTGCGGGTAATCCCTTAAAGCCAATAGCCTCGTGTGGCTATACGCAGGGTGACTCTATTTCTAGAAGGGTCTATTCCCTTTGGATAGGATAAACCTGGTTACCTGGTGTACTCTGGAAGTGTAAAAGCACCTTGTACTGATTGATAGTGCAACATTGAGCAAACCTCATTTGATCTTGTGACACACACAGACGCTTCTTGGGCAGACGACGCCGAGACCCTCAGGTCCTCGCAGGGCTACTGCTTTAGCCTTGGTTCAGGCGCCGTCTTGTGGAGGGCTACCCGCTCCTCGTCTTTTGCCCAGTCCAGCTTTGAGGCCGAGATCTACGCCGGTGCCATGGCGGCACAGGAGCTCTGCTGGCTGACCTTCTTGCTCACTGACTTAGGTGAGCGGCCTAGCTCTGCCCCGGTCCTGTACGCTGACAACAGGGCCATGATCCTCCTGTGTCAGGAGCCTCAACTTGAGGGCAGAGTGAAGCACATCCAAGCTGCGGTAATTCCTCGTGCGCGAGCTACAGCAGCGCCGCCAGGCTCGCGTAGTACACTTGGCCTCCGGTGCCAACACAGCTGATATCTTTACGAAGGCGCTTGCGCCTAAAGTTCATCAACGGCACTGTGTATAGCTTGGTCTCGTTCCTGTAGCCTCTCACTTGCTAGGGCCTCGATTCTATACAAAAAATATATATTTTACCCTGACTGGTCTTGTGGCCTCTTCTTAGTGGCTGGACTAGTAGTGCCTCCCTGGTCTTGCTCTTGCCTTGGTCTGTACTCGTTTGACTGGTCTTTAGACCCTTGTCTCAAAGGCTAGACTAGTAGTGCCACCCTGAGCTGCTTTTCTCGCACCAGGCATTGCCCCTATCCAGTCTAGGGGGTGTGTCAAACATATTTGTGTATTGTTGTAGAGTCTACAACCTCAGATTCGTTTTGGGGCATGCTGATCGCTCAGGGTTCCCCCCCCCTTACCTCACTGTTTTTTCAGGCCTCTCTAACAAACTTACGCTGATCAATCGGGGTGTTGAAAATATTTTGCGCTGAATAAACAGAGTTACTGTACCTACAAAAAAACACCATGTTCAAGTACATGTCCATTATTGCTATCTTTTCTAAAGACAAGGGTTTACAATCTAGCATGGGCATACTAGGACCTATTTAAGCATCCTCCTCTGCCTGCACGCTGTTATGGTCTACAGGGGAATCATCCTCCTTCTCTTTCCCCTTCTTGCTCTTCCGGGCTCTGCTCTGTGGGGTAGTGGTTTAGGGCTTCCTCTTCTTGTAGGCTCTCCAGATGTCAATGACGGCATCCCAGCATGAGTCGTAGTCTAGCAGGCTCATACACATCAAGTCTCCAAGGTGTGAGTCCTTCATGCTGCCCCGCAGCCAGCTCTTTATCTTATTCTGGCGGGAAACCCACGTTCACACATCACTGTGCTCAGGGGAAGAACTGCCGTAGCACACCACAGCTTGACGAGATTGAAGAAGCTATCCTCCCAGTCTGGAGACTTCAGCATAGTTGTCAAGCCAATGTAGAAGCCCTTGTCACTCTTTGGCAGGGCGGAATGGGGGATCTCCAGCACAGCCGCTCGCATGCTGGCACCTGCCAGTAGGGGAAGGGTAGGAGGGAGAACGAGGGGAGTAGTAGTAAAATAAGGTAGAGCGTAACCACATCAACAAATTGTGCAAGCCTCGGGGTCAAGGACAAGTGAAATACCTAGAAGAATCTCTTCAGCTTCCTGTGCATGGTAGAGGTCGACCATCATCCCGAACCACTCCAGACATTGGGCCTTCCGTGGAGCACGTTCCCACCCCTTTGGCCACTGGTTCGCACAGAACAGCATCGAACCACCCAACTGCGTCCAGTCCCCTAGCCACTCATCCAGGTTCTACACCATGCCTTCGGCCAGCGCCATGCACACCACGACACAATCGTCGTGCTTGCCCTCACCCGGGTAGCCATCCAATGGCTCCTCATGCAGGTCGAAGCTGAATCGACTCGGGCGCCAATCGGAGTCGACGCCCTCAACAATGAAGCTGCGCATACCGCCAGGACCGTGACGGGTGAGGAAGGCTGTGAGCAGGTCTTTCGGGCCCGCATTGAAGTCGTCGCCGCAATCGACGTAGCGACTTTCGAGGAGGGACGTCATGCGGGAGACCGACGCGTGGACCGTTCATGTCCAGCTGCGAGAAGGGGTTTGAGAATACAGGTAAGACAACAATGGTGCGTCAGTAGCGGTTTAGGAGCACCATGTGACGAAACTTACCTCACGGGTCTGGAAAGTCTTGTTGAGAATGTTCATCTGCTCAAGAACATCAGCAAGAAACATGAGCACAAACCAGAACCTGTAGCTCGTGACAATCTTGTAAAGACGGTCGTCGCCAAACTCGGACAGCATGACGCCGATGGCTGGCAAGACCTTCACCAGCCGTCGGATGGCCTCACCGCGTGAGAGCCATCTGACTTGGTGTATACCTGCAGCTCCAAGCATGTCAAGAGGAAGACGTCTTAGAGGTCGAGGAAGCGCTGGTGCCACGGTCCAGAGCGACCAAGGAACTCTGCTAGCGCCTTGATGACATCATCGATGATCTTGAACAACGGCATGTCCTCTGCCGCCGCCTTAGCTGCCAGCGCCTCTCTGCACATGGAAGAGAACACGGGAAGAAACCAAAAAAAACCAGCATGAGTGACAGCTAGTATTGTCCCAAATCAGCATCTTGGACACTCAATAATGCAAAAAATGGATACTTACCGGTGAGCGATGCAGTGACAAGAGACCAGGTGAGGGATACGCATCCGAGGTCGAGTCACCAGGCCGGCTTTCGAGCCCATCATCACCGTCGCCCCGTCTGTGCTGATGCCCGAGATGCAGCAGAGATCGACACCAATTGCCTACAGGTGGGAGAGCAGCAGAGCGAGCAGAGAAGAGGCATCCGCCTTGTCAGCGCTGAGCAGCGCGAGGTACTCGGTGACGACGTGGAGGTCCCGGATGAAAGTGCAGAAGACTATCATGTGCCTTCCTCTGCTATGGTCCGTGCTCTCGTTGAGGCTAGTTCCGATGAATGGGCTTCGCAGGAGGTGTTCCAGCTCGGTGGTGTGTAGCCAGGTCGCGGTGGATTGCGTAAACTCCCCGAAACCGTACCTGTGTTTAATAACAGTATAAATCTCGTCGTTAGTGGTTTTTAAGGATCGCAGATAAGTATAAGAAGCTGAGGAATCTAAAGGGATTCAGGGCTTACAAGTTCATGTACATCCCGTATCCGCCCTCGGGGAAGTACTTGAACTTCCGTGAGGCAAGGTGGTTGGTGATCGTGACCCATGTGTCCATGGGTTCGTTGGTCTTGCAGCAGGTGTACAGCAGGTCGAGAAGCGCGGTCACTCCCTCTCCAAATCCGTGGCGTGCGGGTTCTGATTGATTCGCGTCTGGGTACTAGTGTCCTGCAGCATAACGCTTTGATAGGCATGCACTTAGTTCAGGCTTGGTCGCTGACGGCGAGCCCGGGCTGAGCCGACTCTTGCTGAGGCGGCGGCATCCACACCGGGGAAGGTGAGGCCTAGGTTTAAGGTAAGCGTGGTCACAAAGAGGGAAGGGGACGACCAGTAGCCAGTCGCCCGCCTCAGCCGAAATGGGAGGGCAACTGCTGAGTGAGGTGGTCGTGTGGGTTCAGTCCACCATCCGCGAGGCGGCCACCAGCTCGGCGTAACCATGTCCTCGGACCTCAAGCACAAGGTCGCACTGCAGCAGGCCGTGCTGAGTCGTGCTAAGTGCGCATGGAGGCTTTAATCTGAATCAGGCCGTTGTACGTCATAGATCTCACTGCATTGATTGTTACACACACTCTATCTAGTTTGGAGATCAACAGAGCAGCATTCATGCTCACTTCTCATCCTCTCACACAGAGGCTTGGCAAGGAACTTAGGTTACCAGGCCCATTCCAGCTGGCATTAGAGACCTTAGAAGCTTGGACTTACTTGAGGTCGTGTGAAGTAGGGAGCAGTCGAGGATCCACATTTCGTTTGAATGGTGCACTATTGTAGAAGCGGGAGGGAGCTGCTTTCGTGTAAGGGGTGTTGGCCATATTCTTGGTTGCTGAGCAGAGCCAGGTGACTCCTGTTTCATCTCCCACGTCCCGTTCGCCTTCCCTGCACCCATCTGCGTGCCCCTCCCCCGCCTTTCCCTTGCCCACCCCAGCATTCTCCCAGCAACCATCCCCGTCCCTTTCCTCCCTCCTTCCCCCCGTGTGCCCCACTTAGCCCATCTTTTCCTTTGAAAGCAGATGGCTGTCTCTCCTTTCTCTAGATCAATGGTTCCTTAACGAAGCCCCATTCTTCCTTGCTGTGCTTTCTTTGTGCACTACTTTCTTACACCTAAATTCCTTCCTACATGTGCCTCCCATTCAGCCCCTCCCCACTCTCTTCCCCCCCGACTCCCCCCTCCCTCCCCCCTCCCTCTCCTTCCCCCCCCTCTCTCCTTTCCCCCTCCCCTCACAACCGCCTTTCACCCATCTTCCCCTCCGTCATGCCCTGCCTCCTGTAATTATCCACCACGTGTTTCTGCATCCCATTCGTCCACCCATTGCTATACATCCTTTTTCGTACCACCTTTCTCCACTGCTCATCTTTCCTTCGCTCTCCCCTCCACTCATCTGCTCCATTGCCTGTCCGCCCCCTTTCAACTTCTCTCCTGTTTTGCACACCTTCCGCTCGTTCCCTCGTTTTTCCCTCCTGCCATCTCAGTCATCTTTCTCATAACAACCTCAGTGGCTCAGTCCCTGCCAGTATCGGCTCGCTTGCCCAGCTCGTATTCCTGTAAGTTCTATGCTTCGCTTCGCCCTCCTACCTGTTCTCCTGCACTCCTGGCTAACTCCTACCTCTCAACCCACCTTCGCGGCTGGTGCATTGGTTGTCCAGCTTGAGATGTCATGGAGGTCCGCAATCCCTGTAGACGGTCGAGTGGCGGCGCCGGTGTATAGGCGTTGTACTATCGACTTCGTAGATCTTGTGTGGCGTTCCGCTGAATCTGGTGATTGGCTTTGTATAGGGATGGGCAGAGAGGGATGAAGGGATGGGAAGAGAGGGATGAAGGAATGGGCAGAGAGGGATGAAGGGATGGGCAGAGAGGGATGACTTGATGGGCAGAGAGGGATGAAGGGATGGGCAGAGAGAGAAGAAGGAATGGGCAGAGAGGGATGAAGGGATGGGCAGAGAGGGATGAAAGAATGGGCAGTGAGGGGTGAACGAATGGGCAGAGAGGGATGAAGGGATGGACAGAGAGGGCTGAATTGATGGGCAGAGAGGGATGAAGGGATGGGCAGAGAGGGATGAATTGATGGGCGAAGAGGGATGAAGGGATGAGCAGAAAGGGATGAAGGGATGGGCAGAGAGGGATGAATTGATGAGCAGAGAGGGATGAAGGAATGGGCAGAGAGGGATGAAGGGATGGGCAGAGAGGGATGAAGGGATGGGCAGAGAGGGATGAAATAATGGGCAGAGAGGGATGAAGGAATGGGCAGAGATGGATGAAGGGATGGGCAGAGAGGGATGAAGGGATGGGCAGAGAGGGATGAAGGAATGGGCAGAGAGGGATGAAAGAATGGGCAGTGAGGGGTGAACGAATGGGCAGAGAGGGATGAAGGGATGGGCAGAGATGGATAAAGGGATGGGCAGAGAGGGATGAAGGGATGGGCAGAGAGGGATGAAGGCATGGGCAGAGAGGGATGAAGGAATGGGCAGAGAGGGATGATGGTCCGGGCAGAGAAGGATGAACGAATGGGCAGAGAGGGATGAAGGGATGGGCAGAGAGGTATGAATTGATGGGCAGAAAGGGATGAAGGGATGGGCAGAGAGGGATGAAGGAATGGGAAGAGAGGGATGAAGAGATGGGCAGAAAGGGATGAAAGAATGGGCAGAGAGGGATGAACGAATGGGCAGAGAGGGCTGAAGGGATGGGCAGAGAGGGATGAATTGGTAGGCAGAGAGGGATGAGGGGATGGGCAGAGAGGGATGAAGGAATGGGCAGAGAGGGATGAAGGGATGGGCAGAGAGGGATGACTTGATGGGCGGAGAGGGATGAAGGGATGAGCAGAGAGGGATGAAGGGATGGGCAGAGAGGGATGAATTGATGAGCAGAGAGGGATGAAGGAATGGGCAGAGAGGGATGAAGGGATGGGCAGAGAGGGATAGAGGGATGGGCAGAGAGGGATGAAATAATGGGCAGAGAGGGATGAAGGAATGGGCAGAGATGGATGAAGGGATGGGCAGAGAGGGATGAAGGGATTGGCAGAGAGAGATGAAGGAATGGGCAGAGAGGGATGAAGGTCTGGGCAGAGAGGCATGAATTAATGGGCAGAGAGGGATGAACGAATGGGCAGAGAGGGATGAAGGGATGGGCAGAGAGGGATGAATTGATGGGCAGAGAGGGATGAAGGGATGGGCAGAGTGTTGGTGCAACCCTATGGCTTGCACTCGGCTTGTCGTCCTTGTTTGTGTGTGTGCATGCATGGCATGGAATGAATTGTGAGTCTATGTCATTGCTATCCAGTGCTTGTGTGTGTGTTTGAATTGTGTATCACAATGTGGTTTGTGTCGGTCAAGACACTAGCGAGTTTTTACAACTCGCATGTCAATTCGTCGTTTGTGTGTCGCATGTGTTCTATTCTGTCGAGTGTGAAGTGTCCATCGCGTTGCAGGTGTGTGCAGCAAGCCCCCATCAACTCAAGAAGAATTTATCTTGCAGAACCAAGACCAAGAGCTCAAGATTTCAAGCCCAAGGGACGCGGATAAATATTAAATAGTGAAAATAGTAACGCTACTTCGTTTAGTGTTACATTTCACTTGGTGTAGCCCCTTGGAGGGTTGGTTTCGAGACTCTTCGTGGTTGGGGACTCTGTGGTGATGTACCACCAATCAGGACCTCAGCTCTTGGGGTATGTAGAGGCTTGGAACCATCAGCCTCTCGAATTCTTGTTCCTAAGTTTTTTTTGTACTCCTAAGACTATAGTGGCTGCTGTACCTCCTGCCAGTCAAACCGCCATAGCGTCATCAAATCTTCATGGAATTTCATGATTCAACTTGCTGCTGTTAGACAAAAGCACCGCGCTCCAGATCCAATTTACAGATCACCATTTAAGTCAGCGAGCAGATCGTTATCAATATTTGAAGCCGTCTGACGGAAATCCGACTGTGCTCTCTATCTCTCATTATTGGCACATCTAAGCCTATTGTGACTATAACACAGAGAGGGATGAAGGAATGGGAAGAGAGGGATGAAGGGATGGGCAGAGAGGGATGAAGGGATGGGCAGAGAGGGATGAAGGGATGGGCAGAGAGGGATGAAGGGATGGGCAGAGAGGGATGAAGGAATGGGCAGAGAGGGATGAAGGTCTGGGCAGAGAGGGATGAACTAATGGGCAGAGAGGGATGAAGGGATGGGCAGAGAGGCATGAATTGATGGGCAGAGAGGGATGAAGTGATGGGCAGAGAGGGATGAAGGAATGGGAAGAGAGGGATGAAGGGATGGGCAGAAAGGGATGAAGGAATGGGCAGAGAGGGATGAAAGAATGGGCAGATAGGGCTGAAGGGATGGGCAGAGAGGGATGAATTGATAGGCAGAGAGGGATGCGGGGATGGGCAGAGAGGGATGAAGGAATGGGCAGAGAGGGATGACGGGATGGGCAGAGAGGGATGACTTGATGGGCGGAGAGGGATGAAGGGATGAGCAGAGAGGGATGAAGGGATGGGCAGAGAGGGATGAATTGATGAGCAGAGAGGGATGAAGGAATGGGCAGAGAGGGATGAAGGGATGGGCAGAGAGGGATGAAGGGAAGGGCAGAGAGGGATGAAATAATGGGCAGAGAGGGATGAAGGAAGGGGCAGAGATGGAAGAAGGGATGGGCAGAGAGGGATGAAGGGATGGGCAGAGAGGGATGAAGGAATGGGCAGAGAGGGATGAAGGTCTGGGCAGAGAGGGATGAATAAATGGGCGGAGAGGGATGAACGAATGGGCAGCGAGGGATGAAGGGATGGGCAGAGAGGGATGAATTGATTGGCAGAGAGGGATGAAGGGATGGGCAGAGAGGGATGAAGGAATGGGAAGAGAGGGATGAAGGGATGGGCAGAAAGGGATGAAAGAATGGGCAGAGAGGGATGAACAAATGTGCTGAGAGAGCTGAAGGGATGCGCAGAGAGGGATGAATTGATGGGCAGAGAGGGATGTGTTATAGTCACAATAGGCTTAGATGTGCCTATAATGAGAGATAGAGAGCACAGTCGGATTTCCGTCAGACGGCTTCAAATATTGATAACGATCTGGTCTCTGAATCAAACGGTGATCTGTAAGTTGGATCTGGAGCGCGTTGTTGTCGCCTATCAGCAGCAAGTTGAATCATAAAATTCCATGAAGATTTGACGACGCTATGGCGGTTTGACTGGCAGGAGGTACAGTAGCCACTATCGTCTTAGGAGTACAAACTTAGCAAGAAGAGTTCGAGAGGGAGATGGTTCCCAGCCTCTACATACCCCAAGAGCCGAGGTCCAGGTTGGTGGTACACCACCACAGAGTCCCCAACCATGAAGAGTCTCGAAACCAACCCTCCAAGGGGCTACACCAAGTGAAATGTAACACTACACGAAGTAGCGTTACTATTTTCACTATTTAATATTTATCCGCGTCCCTTGGGCTTGAAATCTTGAGCTCTTGGTCTTGGTTCTGCAAGATAAATTCTTCTTGAGTTGATGGGGGCTTGCTGCACACACCTGCGACACGATGGACACTTCACACTCGACAAAATAGAAAAAACACATGCGACACGCAAACGACGACTTGACATGCGAGTTGTAAACACTCGCTAATGACTTGACCGACACAAACCACATTGTGATACACCATTCAAACACACACACAAGCACTGGATAGCAATGACATAGACTCACAATTCATTCCATGCCATGCATGCACACACACAAACAAGGACGACAAGCTGAGTGCAAGCCATAGGGTTGCACCAACAAACTCCCCCTCGGATTGTTGGCCTTAGAATCTGCTCCCCTTAGTTCAGAGCCATCCCAGCAAGCTTGCAACACTTCCAATGCTGCTGCTCAACCAGCCTCTTGGTCATCATATCAGCAGGCTGCGCCGTCGTCTTCACGTAGTGCAACTCCACTTCACCCGCGGTTACCATGCTCCTCACCCAATGCCACTTCACCTTCATGTGCTTCGTAAGGCCATGAAGAACCGGGTTCTTAGCAAGTGCAATAGCACCCTGGATATCACAATAGAGTGGGGTAGGTCCTTGCTGCTCCTCCCCCAATTCAGCTAGCAAACGCCGCTGCCACACAACCTCTCTTATGGCACGGAAGAGTGCCATGTACTTGGACTCCACCGAGCTCAATGCTTGGTCCACTTGTTTCTTGCTCTCCCAAGCTGTTGGCCCTCCACCAACACAGCAGATGAAGCCTCCCACACTTGTCATGTCCTCTGGTTCTGATGCCCAAGATGCATCAGAGAAGGCGGTGAGAAAGAGCCTCCCGGGTTCGACTCCATCCGCACCCTTTTGAAGCCTTTGTGCCGCCGCGGAGTATTGCAGTCCAACAGTTGCTGTTTGGCCAAGGTACTTGGCCACCCTCTCTCCAGCTGCTACCTGCTCCTCATTAGGGCATTGGACAACCCTAGCCAGCTGCCCGGTAGCAAAGGCTGCATCCGGCCTTGTGTGAACGGCCGCATACATGAGGCTGCCCACGAAGGAGTGAAAACGGCGCCTCTCCTCTTCACCAACACATTCCTCCGCTGGTCCTTTCACACACTTGAACCCTGAGGGAAGAGGAGTAGCCACATGACCTTCACTCTTCCCAAAGTTTGCAGCCAAGGCCTCCAAGTACTTCTTTTGATGCACTTGCATCCACCGCTTCTCCACATCTCGCTCAATGTGAAGCCCAAGGTAGTAGTTGACGTCACCAAGGGTCTTGCACTTGAACTTGTCTTGAAGCTTCAGCATCACCTCCTTCACATGGTCAGAGGAGGGTGAGAATATGAGGATGTCATCCACATAAACCACCATGAAGCTCCTCTGCTCCCCCTCGCCAAGCATGGACAAGGATTGATCGGCCGTTGACGGAGTGAAGCCGATCGCCTCCAAGACTTCCCGCAGCTTGATGTACCATTGCCTAGGGGCTTGCTTGAGGCCATAGAGTGCTTTCTTCAGCTTCCACACTCTGCCACTCCCATCATTGTACCCCTCTGGCTGCTCCATGTAGGTCTCTTCCTCCGAAACGCCATTGAGGAAGGCCGTTACTATATCCATTTGCTTCACCACCCATCCTTTGATGGCCGCCGCGGCGAAGAGAGTTCGAAGGGTTGTACCCTTCACCACAGGAGCATATACTTCATTGTAGTCCTTCTTCTCCTGCTGCTGATACCCCTTGGCTACAAGTCTGCTCTTGTAGCGCTCAATGTTGCCGTCGGCGTCGGTCTTGCGCTTGAAGAGCCACTTGGAAGAAATCGCCTTACGCCCCGAAGGTAGGTTCACCAAGTCAAACGTGTTGTTCTCGATGATGCTCCCCATTTCTTCATCTGAGGCCTTCTTCCACTCCTTCCCATTGGGGCCCTCCCAAGCCTCCTTGGGATTTGTAGGCTCCCCCGGTATCTCCACCGGAGAGAAGAAGGCAAAAGCGCACTCCTCGCTTTCATCTTCCGCATCATCACCTAGCATGAGAGCCGAACCGGTCAAGGTTGAGTTGGCTGGTCCTCCAAGCCGTTCATAGCTCAACCTATTGGGGGGCTGAGTCCTCCTTCTCCCCCTTCCTTCCTCCTCTGCTGCAGGGACTTGAATGCTCTCATGGCGTTGTGGTAAATCTTGTCGGTTCCTCGAGCACTTGTAGCACGAGGCGGAAGTGACGGTGCACGCTCATCACCTTGCTGCACCTCCTCCTCCTCTTCTCCCCCATTCATTTGAGGAGATTGCCTTGTGATAGTGCTGCTGCTACTCAGCTCCAAGGGCAGCTCCACATGCTCCAAGCCGGTACTCTTCACCTCTCCAAGCCGCACACCAATCTTCGCTTGGTTCTCCGCCTTCCACTCCTTGTACGGTAAGTTCTCCATGAACTTGCAATCTCTGCTCACCAAAAACTTCTTGGTAAATGGGTCCCAAAGAAGCCATCCCTTGCTGTTTTGGGCCATGCCCAGGTGCACGGCCCATGTTGCCTTGGCATCAAGCTTGTTGTGCCGAAGTTTCTTAGGCACAAGTGCCATGCACATGCACCCGAACACCCGAAGCATATCCACCTTCGGCTTCCTTCCAATCCACTCCACATAGGGCACCCATTTGTCTTCTCCCACATGAGTCAAGGCTCTGTTCTTGGCCACACAAGCATGCCGCACCGCATCCGGCCAAAAGTAATTGGGAAGACCGGCTTCAATGAGAAGTCCCCGAGCCGTCTCCGTGAGTGTCCGATTCGCACGCTCGGCGATGCCGTTCATTGCAGGAGAGTAGGGCATGGTAAGAGAGTGCCTTATGCCCTGCTTCTTCAGCCAAGTTGAGAAATCCTTGCTCAGGAACTCTCCCCCACGGTCAGTGCGAATCGCCTTCACAAGTCGGTCTTGTTGCCGCTCCACCATCGGCAACCAATCGGTCTTCACCGTTTCAGCTACGTCACTCTTCTTGGGCAGCACATACACCCAGGTCATGCGAGTGTAGACGTCCACAATGGTGAGGAAGTACTCTGCTCCAGCAGCTCCAAGCTTCAAGGGGCCCACCACATCCATCACCACCTCATCAAGTGGTGCCTTCGCCGTTGTCTCGGAGCTATGGAACGGGTAGCGGGTGAACTTGGCTTGCATGCATGTTGGACAGCCAAGCACCTCATTGGGCTCCCCCTTGACACGTATCCCACTGACCATCTCTTGCTTAACTATCTGCTGCAAAATGGGCAATGCCACATGCCCCATTCGCCGATGCAAGGTCAGCCAATCACACTCTCCCGTAGCGGAAGTCGGGTTGGAGAAAGCGGCACTCGCAATTGTGCCCCACAAGCTCTCTCCTTTCTCCTTCGCCGCTGCTGCTTTGTTAATCTTAGCCTTCTCCTCCTCATTTCCTCCACCTTTGGCTGCTGCACCATTCTCTTGGGGACCACTGGGATTTGCCACATCTCATTGTAGATGTCCCTGTCCTCATGAAGGTCCCAAAGCTTCTGCTCACCAAGCCTTGCGGTATAGGTTTTGGATCCCTTGGAAGATGTGTCCATGCCGGCCTTTTGCAAACGCCGAACGGAAATCAGGTTGGCTGCTAGGTTGGGCACCAAAAGCACGTTCTTGAGGCCCACCATCTTCCCATCAGCACCCTTGAACATGGCCTTGCCCATGCCCTTCACCTCTGCTCGCTGCCCCAAAGCCGATGTAACATGCTTGACCGGCGACGGTTCGAGTTCGGTGAGCAAGTCCGCACGAGGTGTCATGCTATAGGTGGCGCCACTATCGATCACCCAAAAGTCCAGAGAGTGAAGGGTGACCTTTCCCACAGTAGCTGGCTCCTCAAAGCCTTCCACACCTCCTGCTGCAGCTGCCGCTTGCGTGGAGACAAAGAAGAATTGGCCCGGGTATCGATCTTCACTCGAGTCCTTGTCGTAGTCTCCACCTTTCATGCTTGCCGCTTCGCTTCCACGACCACCACGGCCTCCACGGCCTCTGCCTCTTCCTCCCCTTGCTCCTCTGCCCTCTTGGCCTTGAGAAGGGGTCCATCCATCAGGCAATCTGTAGCAATCTCTCCACATGTGGCCGGTCTTGTGGCAAAAGTGGCATTCGCCATCAAATCGACCGCGCCCACGCCCGTAGCCATTGTTGTTGTTGTTGCTGCCATATCCTCCATTACCACGGCCTCCATTGAAGTTACTGCTGCCAAATCTTCCTCCTCGCCCTCTGCCCCTTCCACGGCCGTGCCCACGGCCCATGCTTGCAACTCCAGCACCATCGGAACCCGCCAATTCGCGAAGGCGGAAATCTTCTTGTAAGATTTCCCGCTTCACATCTTCGAGTGAGAGACGGGGCAGATCTCGATTAAGGTTGATGATGAGCGAGGACCATGAGTCCGGAAGTAAGGCCAGCAGCTTGGTCTGCTTTTGAAGGTCACTATAGTTCAGGTCAGCTCCTTCGAGCCGTGTCAACAAGTCGAAGAATTTCTGCACTCCTTCCTCCACCGGTTCGCCTTCGTCAATTCGAAGTGCCGCCATTTGCCACTCCAAAACCACAGCCACCGCCGCTGTTGCAGGAGCGTGTACACCCTTGAGAGCAGCCCATGCCTTTGGTCCCTTTGCTGGTTCACACTGAAAAGGCTTGATGTGACGGATTTGGCTGCTCCCCAACGCTTGCCCAAGTAGAAGGTAGCCTTGTGCGCTCTTCCGCACCCACGGGCTCTTCTCCGGGTCGTTCTCGGGGCGCTTCTCCGTTCCTTCCATCACCTCCAGCAGATCATAGTGGTCGAAGATGTTCTCCATCTTGAAGGACCACTCAGCAAAGTTGTCACCGTTGAACTTGTCAAGGCCAAACACTCTAGGCTCATCCCTAGAGGGTCCAAGGCTAGGTTGCACCGGAGCAACGGGTGGATCTTGGTGTTGACCTTGTGCTTGGGCGTCTTCTCTGCCTCCAGTACCTCTGCCATCCCCTTCCTCAGGTCTAGGCATGGTCGAGACGGCTCCAAGGGGCTCTGATACCACTTGTTATAGTCACAATAGGCTTAGATGTGCCTATAATGAGAGATAGAGAGCACAGTCGGATTTCCGTCAGACGGCTTCAAATATTGATAACGATCTGGTCTCTGAATCAAACGGTGATCTGTAAGTTGGATCTGGAGCGCGTTGTTGTCGCCTATCAGCAGCAAGTTGAATCATAAAATTCCATGAAGATTTGATGACGCTATGGCGGTTTGACTGGCAGGAGGTACAGTAGCCACTATCGTCTTAGGAGTACAAACTTAGCAAGAAGAGTTCGAGAGGGAGATGGTTCCCAGCCTCTACATACCCCAAGAGCCGAGGTCCAGGTTGGTGGTACATCACCACAGAGTCCCCAACCATGAAGAGTCTCGAAACCAACCCTCCAAGGGGCTACACCAAGTGAAATGTAACACTACACGAAGTAGCGTTACTATTTTCACTATTTAATATTTATCCGCGTCCCTTGGGCTTGAAATCTTGAGCTCTTGGTCTTGGTTCTGCAAGATAAATTCTTCTTGAGTTGATGGGGGCTTGCTGCACACACCTGCGACACGACAAACACTTCACACTCGACAAAATAGAAAAAACACATGCGACACGCAAACGATGACTTGACATGCGAGTTGTAAACACTCGCTAATGTCTTGACCGACACAAACCACATTGTGATACACCATTCAAACACACACACAAGCACTGGATAGCAATGACATAGACTCACAACTCATTCCATGCCATGCATGCACACACACAAACAAGGACGACAAGCCGAGTGCAAGCCATAGGGTTGCACCAACAGGATGAAGGGATGGGCAGAGAGAGATGAAGGGATGGGCAGAGAGGGATGACTTGATGGGCAGAGAGAGATAAAGGGTTGGGCAGAGAGGGATGAATTGATGGGCAGAGAGGGATGAAGGGATGGGCAGGGAGGGATGAAGGAATGGGCAAAGAGGGATGAAAGGATGGGCAGAGAGGGATGACTTGATTGGCAGAGAGGGATGAAGGGATGGGCAGAGAGGGATGAAGGAATGGGCAGAGAGGGATGAAGGGATGGGCACACAGGGATGAAAGGGTGGGCAGTGAGGGGTGAACGAATGGGCAGAGAGGGATGAATTGATGGGCAGTTTGGGATGAACGGATGGGCAGAGCGGGATGAAGGAATGGGCAGCGGGATGAAGGGATGGGCAGAGCGGGATAAATTGATGGGCAGAGAGGGATGAAGGGATGGGCAGAGAGGGATGAAGGAATGGGCAGAGAGGGATGAAGGGATGGGCAGAGAGGGATGAACAAATGGGCAGTGAGGGGTGAACGAATGGGCAGAGAGGGAAGATGGGATGGGCAGAGAGGGATGCATTAATGGGCAGAGAGGGATGAAGGGAGTGGCAGAGAGGGATGAAGGAATGGGCAGTGAGGGATGAAGGGATGGGCAGAGAGGGATGAAAAAATGGGCAGAGAGGGATGAAGGGATGGGCAGAGAGGGATGAAGGAATGGGCAGAGAGGGATGAAGGGATGGGCAGAGAGGGATGAAAGAATGGGCAGAGAGGGATGAACGAATGGGCAGAGAGGACTGAAGGGATTGGCAGAGATGGATGAAAGAATGGGCAGAGAGGGATGAACGAATGGGCAGAGAGCGATGAAGGGATGGGCAGAGGGATGAATTGATGGGCAGACAGGGATGAAGGGATGGGCAGAAAGGGATGAAGGGATGGGCAGAGAGGGATGAAGGGATGGGCAGAGAGGGATGAAGAAATGGGCAGAGAGGGCTGAAGGGATGGGGAGAGAGGGATGAAGGAATGGCCAGAGAGGGATGAACGAATGGGCAGAGAGGGATGAAGGGATGGGCATTGGGGGATGAAGGAATGGGCAGAGAGGTATGAAATGATGGCCAGAGAGGGATGAAGGAATGGGCAGGGAGGGATGAAGGAAGGGGCAGAAAGGGATGAAAGGATGGGCAGAGAGGGATGAAAGAATGGGCCCAGAGGGATGAATGAATGGGCAGAGAGGGATGAAGGGATGGGCAGAGAGGGAGGAATTTATGGGCAGAGAGGGATGAAGGGATGTGCAGAGAGGTATGAAGGAATGGGCAGGGAGGGATGAAGGGACGGGCAGAGAGGGATGAAAGAATGCGCAGAGAGGGATGAACGAATGGGCAGAGAGGGTTGAAGGGATGGGCAGAGAGGGATGAATTGATGGGCAGAGAGGGATGAAGGGATGGGCAGAGAGGGATGAAGGAATGGGCAGAGAGGGGTGAACGAATGGGCAGAGAGGGATGAAGGGATGGGCAGAGAGGGATGAATTGATGGGCAGAGAGGGATGAAGGGATGGGCAGAGAGGGATGAAAGAATGGGCAGTGAGGGGTGAACGAATGGGCAGAGAGGGATGAAGGGATGGGCAGAGATGGATGAAGGGATGGGCAGTGAGGGATGAAGGGATGGGCAGAGAGGGATGAAGGGATGGGCAGAGAGGGATGAAGGAATGGGCAGAGAGGGATGAAGGTCTGGGCAGAGAGGGATGAACCAATGGGCAGAGAGGGATGAACGAATGGGCAGAGAGGGATGAAGGGATGGGCAGAGAGGCATGAAGTGATGGGCAGAGAGGGATGAAGGGATGGGCAGAGAGGGATGAAGGAATGGGAAGAGAGGGATGAAGGGATGGGCAGAAAGGGATGAACGAATGGGCAGAGAGGGATGAACGAATGGGCAGAGAGGGCTGAAGGGATGGGCAGATTGGGATGAATTGATAGGCAGAGAGGGATGAGGGGATGGGCAGAGAGGGATGAAGGAATGGGCAGAGAGGGATGACGGGATGGGCAGCGAGGGATGACTTGATGGTCGGAGGGGGATGAAGGGATGAGCAGAGAGGGATGAAGGGATGGCAAGAGAGGGATAAATTGATGAGCAGAGAGGGATGAAGGAATGGGCAGAGAGGGATGAAGGGATGTGCAGAGAGGGATGAAGGGATGGGCAGAGTGGGATGAAATATTGGGCAGAAAGGGATGAAGGAATGGGCAGAGATGGATGAAGGGATGGGAAGAGAGGGATGAAGGGATGGGCAGAGAGGGATGAAGGAATGGGCAGAGAGGGATGAAGGTCTGGGCAGAGAGGGATGCATTAATGGGCAGAGAGGGATGAACGAATGGGCAGAGAGGGATGAAGGGATGGGCAGAGAGGGATGAATTGATTGGCAGAGAGGGATGAAGGGATGGGCAGAGAGGGATGAAGCAATGGGAAGAGACGGATGAAGGGATGGGCAGAAAGGGATGAAAGAATGGGCAGAGAGGGATGAACACCTGCGCAGAGAGGGCTGAAGGGATGCGCAGAGAGGGATGAATTGATGGGCAGAGAGGGATGAAGAGATGGGCCGAGAGGGATGAAGGGATGGGCAGAGAGGGATGAACTGATGGGCAGAGAGGGATGAAGGAATGGGCAGAGAGGGATGAAGGGATGGGCAGAGAGGGATGAAAGAATGGGAAGTGAGGGGTGAACGAATGGGCAGAGAGAGATGAAGGGATGGGCAGAAGGGGATGAAGGAATGGGAAGAGAGGGAGGATGGGATGGGCAGAAAGGGATGAAGGAATGGGCAGAGAGGGATGAACGAATGGGCAGAGAGGGCTGAAGGGATGGGCAGAGAGGGATGAATTGATAGGCAGAGAGGTATGAGGGGATGGGCAGAGAGGGATGAAGGAATGGGCAGAGAGGGATGACTTGATGGGCGGAGAGGGATGAAGGGATGAGTAGAGAGGGATGAAGGGATGGGCAGAGAGGGATGAATTGATGTGCAGAGAGGGATGAAGGAATGGGCAGAGAGGGATGAAGGGATGGGCAGAGAGGGATGAAGGGATGGGCAGAGAGGGATGAAATTATGGGCAGAGAGGGATGAAGGAATGGGCAGAGATGGATGAAGGGATGGGCAGAGAGGGATGAAGGGATGGGCAGAGAGGGATGAAGGAATGGGGAGAGAGAAATGAATGTCTGGGCGGAGAGGGATGAATTAATGGGCAGAGAGGGATGAAGGAATGGGCAGAGAGGGAAAAAGGGATGCGCAGAGAGGGATGAATTGATGGGCAGAGAGGGATGAAGGGATGGGCAGAGAGGGATGACTTGATGGGCAGAGAGGGATGAAGGGATGGGCAGAGAGGGATGAATTGATGGGCAGAGAGGGATGAAGGAATGGGCAGAGAGGGATGAAGGGATGGCCAGAGAGGGATGAAAGAATGGGCAGTGAGGGGTGAACGAATGGGCAGAGAGGGATGAAGGGATGGGCAGAGAGGGATGAAGGAATGGGCAGAGAGGGATGATGGGATGGGCAGAAAGGGATGAAAGAATGGGCAGAGAGGGATGAACGAATGGGTAGAGATGGCTGAAGGGAAGGGCAGAGAGGGATGAATTGATGGGCAGAGAGGGATGAAGGGATGGGCAGAGAGGGATGTAGGGATGGGCCGAGAGGGATGAAGGGATGGGCACAGAGGGATGAAAGGATGGACAGTGAGGGGTGAACGAGTGGTCAGAGAGGGATGAATGGATGGGCAGAGAGGGATGAAGGGATGGGCAGATTGGGATGAAGGAATTGGCAGGGAGGGATGACGGGATGGGCAGAGAGGGATGACTAGATGGGCGGAGAGGGATGAAGGGATGAGCAGAGAGGGATGAAGGGATGGGCAGAGAGGGATGAAATAATGGGCAGAGAGGGATGAAGGAATGGGCAGAGATGGATGAAGGGATGGGCAGAGAGGGATGAAGGAATGGGCAGAGAGGGATGAAGGGATGGGCAGAGAGGGATGAAAGAATGGCCAGTGAGGGGTGAACGAATGGGCAGAGAGGGAAGAAGGGATGGGCAGAGAGGGATGAATTAATGGGCAGAGAGGGATAAAGGAATGGGCAGAGAGGGATGAAGGAATGGGGAGAGAGAAATGAATGTCTGGGCAGAGAGGGATGAATTAATGGGCAGAGAGGGATGAAGGAATGGGCAGAGAGGGAAAAAGGGATGCGCAGAGAGGGATGAAAGAATGGGCAGAGAGGGATGAACAAATGCGCAAGGAGGGCTGAAGGGATGCGCAAGGTGGGATGAATTGATGGGCAGAGAGGGATGAAGGGATGGGCAGCGAGGGATGACTTGATGGGCAGAGAGGGATGAAGGGATGGGCAGAGAGGGATGAATTGATGGGCAGAGAGGGATGAAGGAATGGGCAGAGAGGGATGAAGGGATGGCCAGAGAGGGATGAAAGAATGGGCAGTGAGGGGTGAACGAATGGGCAGAGAGGGATGAAGGGATGGGCAGAGAGGGATGAAGGAATGGGCAGAGAGGGATGATGGGATGGGCAGAAAGGGATGACAGAATGGGAAGAGAGGGATGAATGAATGGGTAGAGATGGCTGAAGGGATGGGCAGAGAGGGATGAATTGATGGGCAGAGAGGGATGAAGGGATGGGCAGAGAGGGATGAAGGAATGGGCAAAGAGGGATGAAGGGATGGGCAGAGAGGGATGACTTGATTGGCAGAGAGGGATGAAGGGATGGGCAGAGAGGGATGAAGGAATGGGCAGAGAGGGATGAAGGGATGGGCACAGAGGGATGAAAGGATGGGCAGTGATGGGTGAACGAATGGGCAGAGAGGGATGAACTGATGGGCAGAGAGGGATGAAGGGATGGGCAGAGCGGGATGAAGAAATGGGCAGAGAGGGATGAAGGGATGGGCAGAGAGGGATGAATTGATGGGCAGAGAGGGCTGAAGGGATGGGCAGAGAGGGATGAAGGAATGAGCAGAGAGGGATGAAGGGATGGGCCGAGGGGGATGAAAGAATAGGCAGTGAGGGTTGAAGGAATGGGCCGAAAGGGATAAAGGGATGCGCAGAGAGGGATGAAAGAATGGGCAGAGAGCGATGAACGAATGGGCAGAGAGGGATGAAGGGATGGCCAGAGAGGGATGAAGGAATTGGAAGGGAGGGATGAAGGGATGGGCAGAAAGGGATGAAGGAATGGGCAGAGAGGGATGAACGAATGGGCAGAGAGGGCTGAAGGGATGGGCAGAGAGGGATGAATTGATAGGCAGAGAGGGATGAGGGGATGGGCAGAGGGGGATGAAGGAATGGGCAGAGAGGGATGACGGGATGGGCAGAGAGGGATGACTTGATGGGCGGAGAGGGATGAAGGGATGAGCAGAGAGGGATAAAGGGATGGGCAGAGAGGGATGAATTGTTGGGCAGGGAGGGATGAAAGATTGGGCAGAGAGGGATGAACGAATGGGCAGAGAGGGATGAAGGGATGGGCAGAGAGGGATGAAGGAATGGGCAGAGAGGGATGAAGGGATGGGCAGAGAGGGATGAAGGGATGGGCAGAGAGGAATGAAAGAATGGGCAGTGAGGGGTGAACGAATGGGCAGAGAGGGATGAAGGGATGGGCAGAGATGGATGAAGGGATGGGCAGAGAGGGATGAAGGGATGGGCAGAGAGGGATGAAGGGATGGGCAGAAAGGGATGAAGGAATGGGCAGAGAGGGATGAAGGGATAGGCAGAGAGGGATGAAAGAATAGGCAGTGAGGGATGAAGGGATGGGCAGAAAGGGATAAAGGGATGGGCAGAGAGGGATGAAAGAATGGGCAGAGAGGGATGAACGAATGGGCAGAGAGGGATGAAGGGATGGCCAGAGAGGGATGAAAGAATGGGCAGTGAGGGGTGAACGAATGGGCAGAGAGGGATGAAGGGATGGGCAGAGAGGGATGAAGGAATTGGAAGAGAGGGATGAAGGGATGGGCAGAAAGGGATGAAGGAATGGGCAGAGAGGAATGAACGAATGGGCAGAGAGGGCTGAAGGGATGGGCAGAGAGGGATGAAGGTCTGGGCAGAGAGGGATGAATAAATGGGCGGAGAGGGATGAACGAATGGGCAGCGAGGGATGAAGGGATGGGCAGAGAGGGATGAATTGATTGGCAGAGAGGGATGACGGGATGGGCAAAGAGGGATGACTTGATGGGCGGAGAAGGATGAAGGGATGAGCAGAGAGGGATGAGGGGATGGGCAGAGAGGGATGAATTGATGGGCAGAGAGGGATGAAAGAATGGGCAGAGAGGGATGAACGAATGGGCAGAGAGGGATGAAGGGATGGGCAGAGAGGGATGAAGGAATGGGCAGAGAGGGATGAAGGGATGGGCAGAGAGGAATGAAAGAATGGGCAGTGAGGGGTGAATGAATGGGCAGAGAGGGATGAAGGGATGGGCAGAGATGGATGAAGGGATGGGCAGAGAGGGATGAAGGGATGGGCAGAGAGGGATGAAGGGATGGGCAGAGAGGGATGAAGGAATGGGCAGAGAGGGATGAAGGTCTGGGCAGAGAGGGATGAACTAATGGGCAGAGAGGGATGAACGAATGGGCAGAGAGGGATGAATTGATGGGCAGAGAGGGATGAAAGAATGGGCAGAGAGGGATGAACGAATGGGCAGAGAGGGATGAAGGGATGGGCAGAGAGGGATGAAGGAATGGGCAGAGAGGGATGAAGGGATGGGCAGAGAGGAATGAAAGAATGGGCAGTGAGGGGTGAATGAATGGGCAGAGAGGGATGAAGGGATGGGCAGAGATGGATGAAGGGATGGGCAGAGAGGGATGAAGGGATGGGCAGAGAGGGATGAAGGGATGGGCAGAGAGGGATGAAGGAATGGGCAGAGAGGGATGAAGGTCTGGGCAGAGAGGGATGAACTAATGGGCAGAGAGGGATGAACGAATGGGCAGAGATGGATGAAGGGATGGGCAGAGAGGCATGAATTGATGGGCAGAGAGGGATGAAGGGATGGGCAGAGAGGGATGAAGGAATGGGAAGAGAGGAATGAAGGGAAGGGCAGAAAGGGATGAAGGGATTGGCAGACAGGGATGAACGAATGGGCAGAGAGGGCTGAAGGGATGGGCAGAGAGGGATGAATTGATAGGCAGAGAGGGATGAGGGGATGGGCAGAGAGGGATGAAGGAATGGGCAGATAGGGATGACGGGATGGGCAGAGTGGGATGACTTGATGGGCGGAGAGGGATGAAGGGATGAGCAGAGAGGGATGAAGGGATGGTCAGAGAGGGATGAATTGATGAGCAGAGAGGGATGAAGGAATGGGCAGAGAGGGATGAAGGGATGGGCAGAAAGGGATGAAGGGATGGGCAGAGAGGGATGAAATAATGGGCAGAGAGGGATGAAGGAATGGGCAGAGATGGATGAAGGGATGGAAAGAGGGGGATGAAGGGATGGGCAGAGAGGGATGAAGAAATGGGCAGAGAGGGATGAAGGTCTGGGCAGAGAGGGATGCATTAATGGGCAGAGAGGGATGAACGAATGGGCAGAGAGGGATGAAGGGATGGGCAGAGAGGGATGAATTGATTGGCCGAGAGGGATGAAGGGATGGGCAGAGAGGGATGAAGCAATGGGAAGAGAGGGATGAAGGGATGGGCAGAAAGGGATGAAAGAATGGGCAGAGAGGGATGAACACCTGCGCAGAGAGGGCTGAAGGGATGCGCAGAGAGGGATGAATTGATGGGCAGAAAGGGATGAAGGGATGGGCAGAGAGGGATGACTTGATGGGCAGAGAGGGATGAAGGGATGGGCAGAGAGGGATGAGGGGATGGGCAGAGAGGGATGAGGGAATGGGCAGAGAGGGATGACGGGATGGGCAGAGAGGGATGACTTGATGGGCGGAGAGGGATGAAGGGATGAGCAGAGAGGGATGAAGGGATGGGCAGAGAGGGATGAATTGATGAGCAGAGAGGGATGAAGGAATGGGCAGAGAGGGATGAAGGGATGGGCAGAGAGGGATGAAGGGATGGGCAGAGAGGGATGAAATAATGGGCAGAGAGGGATGAAGGAATGGGCAGAGATGGATGAAGGGATGGGCAGAGAGAAATGCATTAATGGGCAGAGAGGGATGAAGGAATGGGCAGAGAGGGATGAACGAATGGGCAGAGAGGGATGAAGGGAGTGGCAGAGAGGGATGAAGGAATGGGCAGTGAGGGATGAAGGGATGGGCAGAGAGGGATGAATTGATGGGCAGAGAGGGATGAAGGGATGGGCAGAGAGGGATGAAAGAATGGGTGGTGAGGGGTGAACGAATGGGCAGAGAGAGTTGAAGGGATGGGAAGAGAGGGAGGAAGGGATGGGCAGAAAGGGATGAACAAATGCGCCAAGAGGGCTGAAGGGATGCGCAGAGAGGGAAAATTGATGGGCAGAGAGGGATGAAGGGATGGGCATTGAGGAATGAAGGGATGGGCAGAGAAGGATGACTTTATGGGCAGAGAGGGATGAAGGGATGGGCAGAGAGGGATGAAGGAATGGGAAGAGAGGAATGAAGGGAAGGGCAGAAAGGGATGAAGGGATTGGCAGAGAGGGATGAACGAATGGGCAGAGAGGGCTGAAGGGATGGGCAGAGAGGGATGAATTGATAGGCAGAGAGGGATGAGGGGATGGGCAGAGAGGGATGAAGGAATGGGCAGATAGGGATGACGGGATGGGCAGAGTGGGATGACTTGATGGGCGGAGAGGGATGAAGGGATGAGCAGAGACGGATGAAGGGATGGGCAGAGAGGGATGAATTGATGAGCAGAGAGGGATGAAGGAATGGGCAGAGAGGGATGAAGGGATGGGCAGAAAGGGATGAAGGGATGGGCAGAGAGGGATGAAATAATGGGCAGAGAGGAATGAAGGCATGGGCAGAGATGGATGAAGGGATGGAAAGAGGGGGATGAAGGGATGGGCAGAGAGGGATGAAGAGATGGGCAGAGAGGGATAAAGGTCTGGGCAGAGAGGGATGCATTAATGGGCAGAGAGGGATGAACGAATGGGCAGAGAGGGATGAAGGGATGGGCAGAGAGGGATGAATTGATTGGCAGAGAGGGATGAAGGGATGGGCAGAGAGGGATGAAGCAATGGGAAGAGAGGGATGAAGGGATGGGCAGAAAGGGATGAAAGAATGGGCAGAGAGGGATGAACACCTGCGCAGAGAGGGCTGAAGGGATGCGCAGAGAGGGATGAATTGATGGGCAGAAAGGGATGAAGGGATGGGCAGAGAGGGATGACTTGATGGGCAGAGAGGGATGAAGGGATGGGCAGAGAGGGATGAGGGGATGGGCAGAGAGGGATGAAGGAATGGGCAGAGAGGGTTGACGGGATGGGCAGAGAGGGATGACTTGATGGGCGGAGAGGGATGAAGAGATGAGCAGAGAGGGATGAAGGGATGGGCAGAGAGGGATGAATTGATGAGCAGAGAGGGATGAAGGAATGGGCAGAGAGGGATGAAGGGATGGGCAGAGAGGGATGAAGGGATGGGCAGAGAGGGATGAAATAATGGGCAGAGAGGGATGAAGGAATGGGCAGAGATGGATGAAGGGATGGGCAGAGAGAAATGCATTAATGGGCAGAGAGGGATGAAGGAATGGGCAGAGAGGGATGAACGAATGGGCAGAGAGGGATGAAGGGAGTGGCAGAGAGGGATGAAGGAATGGGCAGTGAGGGATGAAGGGATGGGCAGAGAGGGATGAATTGATGGGCAGAGAGGGATGAAGGGATGGGCAGAGAGGGATGAAAGAATGGGTGGTGAGGGGTGAACGAATGGGCAGAGAGAGTTGAAGGGATGGGAAGAGAGGGAGGAAGGGATGGGCAGAAAGGGATGAACAAATGCGCCAAGAGGGCTGAAGGGATGCGCAGAGAGGGTAAATTGATGGGCAGAGAGGGATGAAGGGATGGGCAACGAGGGATGAAGGGATGGGCAGAGAAGGATGACTTTATGGGCAGAGAGGGATGAAGGGATGGGCAGAGAGGGATGAATTGATGGGCAGAGAGGGATGAAGGAATGGGCAGAGAGGGATGAAGGGATGGGCAGAGAGGGATGAAAGAATGGGCAGTGAGGTGTGAACGAATGGCCAGAGAGGGATGAAGGCATGGGCAGAGAGGGATGAAGGAATGGGCAGAGAGGGATGATGGGATGGGCAGAAAGGGATGAAAGAATGGGCAGAGAGGGATGAACGAATGGGTAGAGATGGCTGAAAGGATGGGCAGAGAGGGATGAATTGATGGGCAGAGAGGGATGAAGGGATGGGCAGAGAGGGATGAATGAATGGGCAAAGAGGGATGAAGGGATGGGCAGAGAGGGATGACTTGATTGTCAGAGAGGGATGAAGGGATGGGCAGAGAGGGATGAAGGAATGGGCAGAGAGGGATGAAGTGATGGGCACAGAGGGATGAAAGGATGGGCAGTGAGGGGTGAACGAATGGGCAGAGAGGGATGAATTGATGGGCAGAGAGGGATGAAGGGATGGGCAGAGCGGGATGAAGGAATGGGCAGAGAGGGATGAAGGGATGGGCAGGGAGGGATGAATTGATGGGCAGAGAGGGATGAAGGGATGGGCAGAGAGGGATGAAGGAATGGGCAGAGAGGGATGAAGGGATGGGCAGAGAGGGATGAAAGAATGGGCAGTGAGGGGTGAACGAATGGGGAGAGAGGGAAGAAGGGATGGGCAGAGAGGGATGCATTAATGGGCAGAGAGGGATGAAGGAATGGGCAGACAGGGATGAACGAATGGGCAGAGAGGGATGAAGGGAGTGGCAGAGAGGGATGAAGGAATGGGCAGTGAGGGATGAAGGGATGGGCAGAGAGGGATGAATTGATAGGCAGAGAGGGATGAAGGGAGTGGCAGAGAGGACTGAAGGGATTGGCAGAGATGGATGAAAGAATGGGCAGAGAGGGATGAACGAATGGGCAGAGAGCGATGAAGGGATGGGCAGAGGGATGAATTGATGGGCAGAGAGGGATGAAGGGATGGGCAGAGAGGGATGAAGGGATGGGCAGAGAGGGATGAAGGGATGGGCAGAGAGGGATGAAGAAATGGGCAGAAAGGGATGAAGGGATGGGCAGAGAGGGATGAAAGAATGGGCAGAGAGGGATGAAAGAATGGGCAGAGAGGGATGACGGGATGGGCATTGGGGGATGAAGGAATGGGCAGAGAGGGATGAAGGGATGGGCAGAGAGGGATGAACTGATGGCCAGAGAGGGATGAAGGGATGGGCAGGGAGGGATGAAGGAACGGGCAGAGAGGGATGAAAGGATGGGCAGAGAGGGATAAAAGAATGGGCCAAGAGGGATGAACGAATGGGCAGAGAGGAATGAAGGGATGGGCAGAGAGGGAGGAATTTATGGGCAGAGAGGAATGAAGGGATGTGCAGAGAGGTATGAAGGAATGGGCAGGGAGGGATGAAGGGACGGGCAGAGAGGGATGAAAGAATGCCCAGAGAGGGATGAACGAATGGGCAGAGAGGGTTGAAGGGATGGGCAGAGAGGAATGAAGGAATGGGCAGAGAGGGATGATGGGATGGGCAGAAAGGGATGAAAGAATGGGCAGAGAGGGATGAACGAATGGGTAGAGATGGCTGAAGGGATGGGCAGAGAGGGATGAATTGATGGGCAGAGAGGGATGAAGGGATGGGCAGAGAGGGATGAAGGAATGGGCAAAGAGGGATGAAGGGATGGGCAGAGAGGGATGAAGGAATGGGCAGAGAGGGATGAAGGGATGGGCACAGAGGGATGAACGGATGGGCAGTGAGGGGTGAACGAATGGGCAGAGAGGGATGAATTGATGGGCAGAGAGGGATGAAGGGATGGGCAGAGCGGGATGAAGGAATGGGCAGAGAGGGATGAAGGGATGGGCAGAGAGGGATGAATTGATGGGCAGAGAGGGATGAAGGGATGGGCAGAGAGGGATGAAGGAATGGGCAGAGAGGGATGAAGGGATGGGCAGAGAGGGATGAAAGAATGGCCAGTGAGGGGTGAACGAATGGGCAGAGAGGGAAGAAGGGATGGGCAGAGAGGGATGCATTAATGGGCAGAGAGGGATGAAGGAATGGGCAGAGAGGGATGAACGAATGGGCAGAGAGGGATGAAGGGAGTGGCAGAGAGGGATGAAGGGATGGGCAGTGAGGGATGAAGGGATGGGCAGAGAGGGATGAATTGATGGGCAGAGTGGGATGAAGGGAGGGGCAGAGAGGACTGAAGGGATTGGCAGAGATGGATGAAAGAATGGGCAGAGAGGGATGAACGAATGGGCAGAGAGCGATGAAGGGATGGGCAGAGAGGGATGAAGGGATGGGCAGAGAGGGATGAAGAAATGGGCAGAAAGGGATGAAGGGATGGGCAGAGAGGGATGAAAGAATGGGCAGAGAGGGATGAAAGAATGGGCAGAGAGGGTTGAAGGGATGGGCATTGGGGGATGAAGGAATGGGCAGAGAGGGATGAAGGGATGGGCAGAGAGGGATGAACTGATGGCCAGAGAAGGATGAAGGGATGGGCAGGGAGGGATGAAGGAAGGGTCAGAGAGGGATGAAAGGATGGGCAGAGAGGGATAAGAGAATGGGCCAAGAGGGATGAACGAATGGGCAGAGAGGGAGGAATTGATGGGCAGAGAGGGATGAAGGGATGGGCAGAGAGGTATGGAGGGATGGGCAGAGAGGGATGAAGGGATGGGCAGAGAGGGATGAAAGAATGCGCAGAAAGGGATGAACGAATGGGCAGACAGGGCTGAAGGGATGGGCAGAGTGGGATGAAGGGATGGGCAGAGAGGGATGAAGGAATGGGCAGAGAGGGATGAAAGAATGGGCAGAGGGGGATGAACGAATGGGCAGATAGGACTGAAGGGATTGGCGGAGATGGATGAAAGAACGGGAAGAGAGGTATGAACGAATGGGCAGAGAGCGATGAAGGGATGGGCAGAGAGGGATGAATTGATGGGCAGAGAGGGATGAAGGGATGGGCAGAGAGGGATGAAGGGATGGGCAGAGAGGGATGAAGAAATGGGCAGAGAGGGATGAAGGGATGGGAAGAGAGGGATGAAAGAATGGGCAGAGAGGGATGAACGAATGGGCAGAGAGGGATGAAGGGATGGGCATTGGGGGATGAAGGAATGGGCAGAGAGGGATGAAGGGATGGGCAGAGAGGGATGAATTGATGGCCTGAGAGGGATGAAGGAATGGGCAGGGAGGGATGAAGGAAGGGGCAGAGAGGGATGAAGGGATGGGCAGAGAGGGATGAAAGAATGGGCCGAGAGGGATGAACGAATGGGCAGAGAAAGATGAAGGGATGGGCAGAGAGGGAGGAATTTATGGACAGAGAGGGATGAAGGGATGTGCAGAGAGGTATGAAGGAATGGGCAGGGAGGGATGAAGGGAGGGGCAGAGAGGGATGAAAGAATGCGCAGAGAGGGATGAACGAATGGGCAGAGAGGGTTGAAGGGATGGGCAGAGTGGGATGAAGGGATGGGCAGAGAGGGATGAATTGATGGGCAGAGAGGGATGAAGGGATGGGCAGAGAGGGATGAAGGAATGGGCAGAGAGGGATAAAGGGATGCGCAGAGAGGGATGAAAGAATGGGCAGAGAGGGATGAACGAATGGGCAGAGAGGGATGAAGGGATGGGCAGAGAGGGATGAAGGAATGGGCAGAGAGGGATGAAGGGATGGGCAGAGAGGGATGAAAGGATGGGCAGAGAGGGATAAAAGATTGGGCCGAGAGGGATGAACGAATGGGCAGAGAGGGAGGAATTGATGGGCAGAGAGGGATGAAGGGATGGGCAGAGAGGTATGGAGGGATGGGCAGAGAGGGATGAAGGGATGGGCAGAGAGGGATGAAAGAATGCGCAGAAAGGGATGAGCGAATGGGCAGAGAGGGCTGAAGGGATGGGCAGAGTGGGATGAAGGGATGGGCAGAGAGGGATGAAGGAATGGGCAGAGAGGGATGAAGGGATGGGCAGAGAGGGATGAAAGAATGGGCATAGAGGGATGAACGAATGGGCAGAGAGGGATGAAGGGATGGGCAGAGAGGGATGAAGGAATGGGCAGAGAGGGATGAAGGGATGGGCAGAGAGGGATGAAAGAATGGGCAGAGAGGGATGAACGAATGGGCAGAGAGGGATGAAGGGATGGGCAGTGAGGGATGAATTGATGGGCAGAGAGGGATGAAGGGATGGGCAGAGAGGGATGATGGAATGGGCAGTGAGTGATGAACGAATGGGCGGAGAGGGCTGAAGGGATGGGCAGAGAATGCTGTTGCTTGTTTGATTTCGAACATGTGGGATTTGGTGGGTACAAGAATGAGAGTGCCAATAATAGTCTACTTCCCGTGATTCCCCCAAACAGGTGTGGCTGTGGAGATTTCCACAAGGAAACACCGAATGGGGTAACCCTTACCGCGCTTTGATGTGCGACGTTATGCACATGTCCCCACTTGGAGTGTTTAAACACATGGTAGATTCTCTCCGAAACATCCTCAAGGGGTGCAGGGGGGAAGTTTACAAGCGGCCAGTGTTCGATGATGGAGTTTGTTGCATCACCGAGTACAGTAGACAATCGTTCATCCGCCTTCCAGGGAAGGGGAAGAGGTGTTTCACAAATGTTGGCACATTTTATGCATTCGAACATCAAGCAGTGATGCAGGTTCTGCCTGTAATCCTTCAACAGATGGGGGCAAAAAAGGAGCTGGTAG